CGAATAAATAGTGTTTCTAAATCATTTAAGCATAGTGATGGGTGGGGTGTTACAAAAACACTTGTGTTAACCTGAGGAACATTAATTGCAAGGTCAAAGTTGATGGGGCAAAGAGACTTACGCTTTTAATTAGTACAAAACTCATCAAGACCTTCTATAGTCTTAACTAATACATGGCTTGCTCCATCAGGTCGCATATTATGGTACCTTGCCATTTCAACATGGTCAGTATCTCCATCTTTTGTGTTGAATAAAGTATGATGTACTTATAGTAAGTATATCACATTTTGAGATGACATAAGGCACAGATGATTAGGAAACCACTCCCTAAATTCCCAAGATATCTCAAACTGCAATATCCAATGCCATGTATCAAAGATATGATTGAAAATGTGACCGAACACGTAAAATAATATTTCTCTCTCATGATAGAGTTCATCTTTAAATTCAGTATATTATAGGAAGAAACTTAACGAAATAAATCTGAATGGCTTATCAAACTTCTTTTAAAGGAAAAAGAAAGATAATATTAAAGAACACCAAAGAGGTGGGACCCATTTACAAAAGCTACCAAAAAAAAGGAAACTAGAAGTTACACAAGAGCCTCAGCTAAAAAAAGCAACTAGCTCCCCTAAGAATTTATCAAGGATGGAATGATAAAGGAATTGTTACATCTCAAATGTTAATTAAGGCATAAGGGTGCCAGATACATAAATAGATTACGAATGCATGATAAATAATTGTATGCAGCGAAACAAATTATTACAAATCTATTACAAAAATATATATGAGTTCTAATTACACATATATAACTGAGATCAGAAGTGCCAACAAAATATAAAATATCAAAATACAAAAAGGAACACTTTTTTCACTACGTGAATGGGCTCATCAGAGTGCGGGACACATCATGCACTCAAGGTTTGTGGTTCCACGGGATCCTCATAGACCTTAGGGATCACCTTAGTCATCGGTATATTTCTATCACTACTCTCTTGCTTGCTAGAGTTGAGCAATGTAGTGATACATTTCATAAATTTATAGATAAATAAATTTGAAAAGAAAATTAAAGAGAAACAACTTATTGATATGCATCATCTTTCTGAAAGTTTAGATAAAAAAATTCAGTGAGAGAATAATGAACTGTGGAGAGATATGAAGGAGAAACAAAACTTAAAATATTAGAAATATGGAGAACAAGTTGACCAAAAGAAAAAGAAATCATAGTAGGTTCTCTCCTCTCGTCCTCGCACTCTATCTTAACCTATTTCTCTGTAGTTTCCCTATTGCTCTTTGTGCAAGCACAATAAAACTATCATTTTACGGGACTATAGGTTGAAATTCTTACATAATATGACTGATCTTTTTAGCATTAATTTATGATGATTATGATTTGACATTACTTTTCTATTTTATTATTAAAAATATTTTTGAATAAATTTTTCACATTAAAAGTAAATTATTCTGTAATGTTGCATGTATATGACCTTTTAAAAGTTGTGATTTCATAAATAAGATTTTTTATTTATAAGAAATACAAAGAAAATAGGGAAAAAACTAAATACAATTATGGCAATATATATAAGTCAAAGTCAATTAATTTTTTTAAAATAATAATTTTAAATTTAAAAAAAATAAAAAAGAAACATAAAGATAAAACAGACTAGAAATTATTTTTATTTTAATTAAGCAAATGATTTATATACATCGACTTTTCCAAAAGATAGTGCGTTGGACTTCTCATCCTTTATCTCTTTTATTTTCTTTTCAAATTTATCCATCAATTAATTTACGAAATATATAACTACATGCCTAAACTCTAGCAAGCAACAGAGACGGATTCTGATCTTTTCTTTTCCATTTGTCTATTTTTTGTTTGGATTATCACTTGACATTTCCTCATCACCATCTTCATTCTTATTACTAGACGATCTTTCTTATATTTCTCCCTACAATTTGCTAACCTCTCTCTTCTAGTGTTTACTATTTGCAGGTTCCTTATGATCTATGATCATCATACCCTCCATTTTTAATCCCCCAATAATTGCAGTAACTGTAACTTTGACCTTATTCGGGACTCTGTCAATCTGATTCTTGCCTCTTTTTTGCAGGTTTTAAGATTCAAGTCTTTAGAATCCTCTTCCAACCATTCTTGGAAATTTAGATAATCATTTCTTCTATTCTTTCCTCTTCAATATTTAAATTCCCAAGAATGGTTAGAAGAGGATGCCAAAGACTTAGATCTCAAAACCTACACAAAAGATAACAAGAATTAGATTAATAGAGTCCTTAATAAAGTAAAAGTTGGTGTTATTGCAATTATCGAGGGATTAAAAATGGAGGGTATAATGATCATAGATGATTAAGAACCTGTTACTCTTAAATATTAGAGGAAAAAGATCAGCGAATTACAAGCAGAAGAAAAAGAGGGTCCGTCAAGTAATAAGAACAAAGATAATGCCGAGAAAATGTTTGTTGATATTACAGAGGAAGAAAAGAAAAATAAAAACAAAAATATCAATCCACTCAAACTTAGAATCAATCTCTTTCGTTTGCATGAAAGTTTGGACAATGAAGAAATGGAGTGGGAGATTGATAAACTGTGGACATATATGAAGGGATGTTGGCAATTTAATTTTGTTATAATTGCCAAGAAAATAAATTTGATAATCAAATAAATACTTGAAATTTTATTAATGACAAACACAAATTTTACAATGCTCGCAAGACAATTTCACACCTAAATCCGTTGTGCATTAACTTGTTGAAGCTAACAAATCTTACTCAACATTTTCACCTCACACTTCGATATGTCTTTTCTCTTATACCTAAGCTCTATATATAGGCACCAAAGTTACCCAATAGCATTTTCCTTCTTTATTGTTGATTAACTCCTGCTTAATTTTTCCAATAAGATTATTTACAATTTAATTTCCCAACAAAATTAAATCCAACTCAATTTTCTAACAACATTAAATCAAACTTAATCTTCCAACAAAATTAAATCAAGTTTACTTTTTCAACATTTTTCTTTAAACTTGATTTAACTATTTGTAGTATTTTCTTTAACTTGATAAATATATATGCTTCATTCACTGCCATTTTTTCTTCTTTTTCTTTTCCTTTGTCTAAATGCTCTAGATTTTTCTTCTTCTTCTCTATTTTTGTACTTTTCATCACCATCTTTGCCATCACACTTTTATGTTTAAGAAAATGAATTAAATATTCCAACATAGGAATAAAATTAAATTTTCTCACTTTTTTTTTCTTGTTCTTTTCAGTTTAATATAAATGAAATTTTTATCTCTTTCAATCTGAGCAAAAATATCGTATAATTAGTTAGTGAATGATACTATGTCCAACAATCAAAATTGATATTATTTTTTTTAAAATTTTATTAATTAAGATATTCTTGGACCAATTTTTTAATTTTCTTTTAATTTTTCATTTTATATTTCTTAAAAATAACTAATATATAGAACAATAATATAAAGAAAAGAAAAAAACGTAAATATAATAATATCAATAAACTGAATCAATTTCTTTTTTTATTAATTCATTAATATAAATCAGCAATATTGCACTAGGAGAAGTGGAAAGAAATACTGTAAAAATTAATTAAAGACTTTTTCCACAATTTTTTATTCTATAATCTTTTCTTTTCTTCCCTCTAAAGATATGATTTTTTATGCTTCTTATTCTGTACTACTTAGTATTTTAATTATGACTATAAGAATATATATATATAACTATAGTAATTAAGTAATATTATATTTACACATACATAACACTATAATAGTCAATAAAAATACTATTTTTAAATATTAAATATTAAATAGATATTATTTTTTAAAAAATAAAATACCAAAAATAACGGTTAAGTACTTAATACACAAATATATTAAATTAATTAAATCAAAAGCCTTTCATTATATCAATATTTATGATATTACATGAACATTTACTAAGAAAAAATATATTATTAAAAGTGAAAGTAAAGGATCTTTTTTAAAAATTTCGTGGATTATATCCTCTCACTAGAATCATATAGAGTAAACAAGAATTTTTTTGCTTCAAATTTCATATTTTCTGAATGTTTATTATAATTGCATAGATATGATTATTTTTGTGCTATATGTGAATATTCTATTATATACTATATACATGAAATTTGTGTATAATTATACATTTTGAATGAAAATTATTTTAAAACTTTAAATGTAAATTTTAGTAAAAATTTGAATCGATTTTTCAAAACCTATACATTGAAATTTCTAACTTGAAAATTATCAAAAACAAATTTTAGTTTTGACTGATGTCAAAGTACTTTGCATCTTACTCATTTGGTTATAAAAATAGTTTTGAAACTCATAAACAATAACAAAAGATTGGGTCAAAAGACTCTAAATTAAAAATATAAAACTGTTGGCTAGGTCTAAGATAAGAAAAATAGTTCTAAAAGAATCTAAGTTTGAATTAAAGTAAAGATGAATGTAATGCACAATCAGAATTCTCAAAGTTTATAGTCGAAGTTTTGGATTGAAAAGGTAAATAGAAACCGCCACAACTTTTTTGAGCTAGTGTACGTAATTGATTAAGAAGACAAGAGACAATCCAATTTGAGCATGGAATAAATTAGTTTCTTTTATCAGACTCAGAGGTAAAAAATGCCTCCAAATTTCTTAGGAAACCAGAAGTTGAGAAAGGGATAACCTTGATTATCTAGTAAATTGTAGCAGACAACAGAGAACTCTAATCAGCTTGCAGGATAAGATATATATATATATATATAACCCTTGGAAGCATGAGAACTTGGTGATCATCCAGGAAATCTAGGTTACTGAGGCTATTTTAATGGGTGGGATTCCAACAAATTATGAGCGATCATGAATCTCATCCCATAAACTGCTTTCTTCATGACAATAAGGAATTGTGGGCTCTTGTATAAAATGAGTTAAATGGCATTAGTCCACTCATAGTCGATCCCTTCAACCAAGTGTTCATTTGTTATCTTCGTCCCTCTTTTGACCTCTTATCTTGTTCATTTGAGCATTCAACAGTTTGTACACCCTATCCTTTAGCTGTGTGATACGATGATTTTAAATTACTCGGCGTGGAAGAAGTTAGAAGTTAGTCTAACCATACGCTTACAACAAAAGATGACAAAAAAGAAAAAGGACCCTCTAGTAATTAAAATGAAGATGGCGATGAGGAAATGTCAAGTGATAATCCAAAGGAAAAAGAGACAAATGAAAAAGAAAACATCGAAATCCGTTTCTGTCACTTACTAGAGTTTAGGAGTGTAGTTATATATTTCATAAATTAATTAATGGATAAATTTGAAAAGAAAATTAAAGAGATACATGATGAGAAGTCCAACGCACTATCTTTCAGGAAAGTCGATGTACATAAAAGAAATAAAGTGGGAGATTGATGAACTATGGAGAGATATAAAAGGGAAAGAAGACATGAAAGAGAAGAATTGAATTTTCTTGTTTACTTTTTTCCTAGTTCATTTCAGTTTAAATAGTTTTTAGAGCAATATAGATTCACGCTTTAGCCACTTCATCTGAAGAAGGGCTTACAATTTAGCAATCAACATAAATGTAAAAAGAAAGAGAAAATCATACATCAAGCCCTGTATACCAAGACAGAGAAAAGAAAATAGAAAATAGTTGTTTTGAGAACAACAATTAATTTTTTTTGGGTAAAAATATTTCATTAACTTCATCAATATTATTTATATACGCACAAAAAATAATACAAATTTATAATATTAATCACTATTTAGTTTAATTATTGGTATGTTCTTTCTTCTATAAGAGATTGTGGGATCCAATCGATATATGTTTTTTTATGTGTCATTATTTAAAGGTTATTTATATAATGTTAGTGTATGTAATCAATGTTAGTGTGATACCTTGAAAATATTTTTGAGTTAATTTCTTATATATGATATATTTAATTTAGCTTCACATGTGTTTGAAAATATATAATTAAGCTAAGAACATAGTATAGAGTCAAATAGAAAAAGGATAGATTAGGATGAAGGAGCTGGAATAAGTATGAAGAGGCATGAGAAAATGTGGAAATATTTTAAATGAAGTGGTATAATGAAAAGTGATAACTACTAGATAAAATGACATAACGAAAAATGACAACTTTTATATGAAGTGACATGTAAAAAGTGGTAACTTTTTAGATGAAGTGACATGTGAAAGGTCTTTTAGATAAAACGGCCTGTGAAAAGTGGTAACCTTTTAGATGAAGTGGCATGTTAAAAGGCCTTTTAGGTAAAACGATAAGTGAAGAGTGGTTACCTTTTAAGTGAAGTGACATGATGAAAAGTGACAACTTTTAGATAAGATAGTAAGACAGAATGGTGGCAACTTTTTCCTAATGGCTTCCCACTCCTATAAATAGGGGATAGGAGAAGGGAGGAAGAGATATTCTGAATGAGAAAAAAATAATAAGAAGCATAAAGGTGAAAGGAAGAAGAAGGAGTACAAAGTGTGTGATATTTGAGAGTATTTTGAGTTTTAGATAAAAACTTTAGCGAAACTCTACTAAATTTGTGAGAGCAGAGAAAGAGGAAGAGAAGAAGAATGAGGCTCACGATGAAAAGAAAACTATAAACCGTTAGAAATGTAAGCTTTTTCTTAAGTTTTAAAGTTCTATTTCTCTTTGATTTTTGGGATTAGTTTTTGAGCATTGTGTTGGATATTTTTGAGTCAAGAAAGTGACCAAAAATCATCTCAAAACTCTGTCAAATTTTTTAGCGGAAAAAGTCATAAATAAAGCTGGAACTCTATGGGAATTAAGACTACAACTACTGAAGACCTAAGGTAAGTGGATATTATGAATTCATAGCCTATATAATTTTGAAGTATTTTCAGTATAAAAATGTGCACATGTTTAATTTGTCTTTCGTATTTGTTAAGTAAGTATTTGTTAAAGTTTTACTTCGTTATAAATGTTATTTTACTTTCTGTTATCGAAATGTGATTTTGATATGTATGCATCACTAATAATGGAAAGAAGTTATCCGAAAGCACCTACATTATGCTAGGCTTCAATCTGGCCAGACATAACTGTTCCATGTTCGGATGCATTAGCAAAGTGATAAGTGTGTACCCATACATAACCATTCTGTGTTCGAGTGTATGGGGGAAATAGTCTGATCTGCATGCCCTAACAGTTCGTTGTTCGGGGGGTAGCAGTGTTTTAAGGCACTCATGTATGTTGTTCCATGTTCAGGTATATAAAGAACCAGCGATAAGTATCTATGCCTATGCATAATGTATAGTAACTGATTAATCCTCCATAATAGTGATGAAGCATATAATATGCATCTGCTTTAAGATTTGTGCTTTCGTATTTCGATTCATATCTATTTTGGAAAGATTATATGATATATGTTCTGTTGTGTGTAAAGAAACTATATATTGCATGTACTATGTTGTGATTTCATAATATTGCTTATTGGGATATTTTATCTCATCCCTCCTATCGCCCTCCAGATACAGAAGATACCACTGCAGAGTGAGTAGTTATATGGAGGAAATTTTTGAAGCCTAGACTCTGATATTATGGTTACTATTTCGTATCTTTATTTAGTAATATAAGTAAGAAAATTTAGAGTCTCGTACATATGTTTATATTTTATATTTAAGGGATGTAACGCTTCTGCGACTCTTTTATTATTAATAAAGTTAAGTTATTTTGCTTAACTCAAGTCTATATGATTTAAAGAAATATGTTCTGATCATTACCCTAAAGGACGGAGTATGTTTGTGACAGTTACATGTGTGATAATTTGAAAATACCCCTGGATTAATTTTTTATGTTTGATATATTTAATTTATTCGTTATATGTGTTTAGAAATATATAAAATTATTAAGGACATAGTTTAAAGTCAAACAAAAAAAAGGATGGATAAGGATGAAGGAGCTAGAATAAGCATAGAGAGGCATAGAAAAAGGTGAAAACCTTTTAAATGAAGTGGTATAATAAAAAATGGTAACTATTAGATAAAATGACATAACAAAAAGTAGAAATTTTTATATTAAGTGACATATGAAAAGTGGTAACTTTTAGATGAAGTGATATCACAGAGAGTGCAACTTTTAGATGAAGTGGCATGTGAATAATGGTAACCTTTTGGATGAAGTGACATGTGAAAAGTGATAACCTTCTTGATGAAATGACATGTAAAAAGTAGTAACCTTTTAGATGAAATGACATGATGAAAGGTGATAACTTTTGGATAAAGTTGTATGATGGAATGGTATCAACCTTTCTCTCATGGATCGCCATTCTTATAAATAGGGGATGGGTCAAGGGAGGAAGAGACATTCCAGAGGAGAGAAAAATAGTGAGAAGCATAGAAGTGAAGAAAGAAGAGGGAGTACGAAGTGTGTGATTTTTTAGAGTATTTTGAAATTTTAGATAAAAGCCTTGGGAAAAACTCTGCTAAATTTGTTAGAGCAAAGAAAGAGGAAGAGAAGAGGAAGAAGGCTCACGATCAAAAGGAGTTATAAACTATTAGAAAGGTAAGCTTTTTCTTAAATTTTGAAGTTTGGTTTCTCTTTGACTTTTGAGATTAGTTTTTGAGTATTGTGTTGGATATTTTTGCATTAAGAAAATGACTAACAATCATCCTAAAACTCTGCCAGATTTTTGAAAGAAAAAGGTCATAAATAAAGTAGGAATTCTATCAGAATTAAGATTACAATTGCTAAGGACCTAAAGTAAATGGATATTATGGATTCATTATCCTAAGTGGTTTTGAAGTATTTTATGTATTTTCAGTATAAAAAGGTGAAAGTATTCGAATTGTCTTTCGTATTTATTAAGTAAGTGTTTGTTAAAGTTTTACTTTGATATAAGTGTTATTTTGTTTTATGTTTTCGAAATATGATTTTCATATGTGTGCATCACTCATTATGGAAAGAAGTTGTTCCGAAAAAACCTGCATTATGCTAGACATCAATGTGGCCATACATAATTGTTCTGTATTCGGGCGTATTAGTAAGTGATAGT